CTTCCACTCATACCAACAAATGATTAATTCTCAAGGAGATCTTATATAATGGGAATTTCTTATGAAGAATTGCGGAAAACATTAGTACAAAATGAAATGATTGATTAAGAGATAAAGAAATAGGAGCCTTTAGTTTCTTGGAGATCTGTTGAAGTGACCCCACTGAGTCATTAAGCAGAAGTCAAATTCAGACTATAATGAGAGAACTATTAGCATTTTCTTGCGCTTTGCTGTTCACTCCCACGTTCTGAGGTCCAGAGAGAGCCAGTGCCTTGTTCCATTTGCGAGGTATACTCAATGCCTCTCATATATACGGTGATGTCCGGCCTGTCCTCTCCTCCACTTTAATTACTTGCCATATATGTGCTACGGTCAAATTAGGTGCTATATAAATTCTTACATCCGTAGTAGTTGACCTCGTCGATAAAATAGTATGCTTTTATTACATTGTTGACGAGGTTCAAATTCAAATCCGACCATTTCTAGGGAGCCTAGTTGCTAGGATTAGAAGATCTTAAGGTAAATGGTGTATTAATTGTACATGAGTTGGTCTTTTACCTCTTAAGTCTTAAGCACCTTAATTAAGGGGCCAATTTGCTTGAATTGGAAGCTCTTAACTTAAGGGGAAGGCTGAAATGGCCCATTGGGGCTCACAATTTTAGAAGGAAACCGCCCCATGTTCTGTGAATCAGAATTGTTACTGAATGGAGGATAAAAAAACATGCAATATCCGGAGTTGGGCCCTAGAAAACACCGAAAGGCTGTCCCAAACACTATAGTTTTGGTTAAACCTTAAATTTGGTCTTTAAACTATTGCATGGATCTTGGATTTGGTCCATGTACTAAAAAAATCTTTGATTTGATCTCTAAACTATTGTACGGATCCTTAATTTGATCCATATTGTTTACCAATTTGCTCCAAGTTAGTTCTTCCGTACCAAAAACAGCTAAGGTGTCATTATTTAACGGCGAAAAATAATAACTTAACGACCACGTGTCATTTTAATAACAAGACATGTTAGTTGGTTTTTATACGAAAAGATCAATTTGAGGTAAATTGGTAAATAGTAAGATCAAATTGAGAGTCTGTACGATAGTTTAGGGATCAAATTAAGAATTTTTTTTAGTTTGGGAATCAAGTCAGGGGCCTGTACAATAGTTTAGAGACCAAATTGAGAATTTAACCCTATGGTTTTTCAAAGAAAATGATCTCCTCTTTTCTTTTTTTTTTTCTTTTTAATTTACATTTAAAAATTTTTTTAGTCAACCTTTATGTATTTGAAGGCTAATTTATCTCTTTACAATCTTAAAGACGTACCCTCCAAATTTGTCCATCAATCTTAATACAACATGATGAGAAAACAGCGAGAACAAGCCCTAATTGTACATTTCTTTTGCAACCCCCCATGCTCTGTGAATGAGAATTGTTACTGAATGGAGGATATAAAAACAGAAGCAATATCCGAGTTGGGCCCTAGAAAACACCGAAAGGCTGTCACAAACTCTATGGTTTTTCAAAGAAATGACCTCCCTTATTGAGAGCACATGAAGCTGCATCTTTTCTTACCCGTTATTGTTAATACAGCATCATGAGGAGTTAAGGAATCTTGTCCAAATTCGCTAAGGAAACTAAAACAATCTATTGGAGCCAGCTAGCCCTTTCCTTTCATCTGTCAGGTAACACCAAAAACAGAAAAAAGATCATACGGATTGCTTGGAGATAGATACTTCTTGCAAAAAACACAGACAACATTAAAATTGTTTGATGTTTCATACTACTTAGAATAGCTCTTGATACCGATTAAACATATTTCATATAATTCATATATTAATGGAATTGAGAGCGTCTTCATAAACATGATATGCAATTTTGCGGTATAGTTGTCGAGAATTTGAAATGGGGATTTGGCCCCCATTACAGCTCGATCAAGAGGGAATGTGTGACGACGCTAGCGGCTTACGGTTGTACCTTCTAGCATACAATGGCACGCGCAGTGTACGACATGAAGGAAACATCAATGTCAATTTTTGAGATTGTCCTCCACCACAAACTGTGAGGGTAATGTTAGATTAAAAATCGCATAGCATAACCCCACTCAAAGCTAGTAGTAGTAACAACATTCCATTGAGAGGGTCCATGCCAGAGTGGATAATTTGTCACAACAGAGTCACAGGGAACCTAAATGTTTGGTCTTTGATTGAAGTCACTGTCCACAGCAACATTATGTTTCATGTTCAAATCTCTCCTCCTTTAAAATGAAGTATATAATTTTTTTTTTTGAACAAGTGCAATTTTGGAGAAGGGGGAAGGGATTAAACCCAGTTCACGGGGTTGGGGAGATGCACCTCAACCAATTGGCCTATAAAGCCAGGTGCAAAGTATATAAATTCAGTTTTTTAGATTTTGATATTTCAACTAACAATCTAGATGCAGAAAAAGGAGAAGGAAAATGATTTACGCATGAATTTTTATTTTATTATTATTTTTTAAGTTTTCGATGGTCAGGGTATCTTTGATTCAACTTATTTGCATACATGCATAATTTCATCTCACGGGAGAGTAAAATGCAAAACAGTGTTTTGCCTTTTGATGAAATGTGAAAGCAAATGGTGGATCTCAGAGGCTGCCCAAAAAAAAGTAATGTAGAGACTACAGAATAGGCCCACTTTGCTTATACTCAAGCCTGGTTTAGTTTTCTCGAGATGGACAGGCCCAAGGTGAATGAGGCTAACAGGCTCTGTAGCTTAATCTCCTAAACAAAACTGTATGAATGGCAGATAATTCCATAAGACGAACAATATGTTGATTTAAATAGAAAAAATTCAATTATTTTTAAAAAAAATCTTAAATTCGAATCTTATGAATGGGGAAACAAGGATTGAGAGAACATTTCCCCTTATGAGACGACTTCTAGATTCTGGGAATTAGTAGAAAAATTAAATAAATAAATAAATTCCATACAGAATATCACATGTTAAAGGCATTCAGCACTTGAAACAAACAAGGAACGTGAAGGCTGATCATATTGAATCAGAAAGAAAAAGGAAAACAAGAGTAGTCTGAATCACTGGAAGTGGAAACTATTGAAGCTGCTGAAACCAAGCTACTGGTTGCCTGCCTCGCTTGAAAAGATGATATACTTTTTCTTCATACTCTATAATTAACCTGCAACACAAAAAAAATAAAAATAAAATAAAATAAAAAAATTCACCACTATTATTGTTGATCTAAGAAGACACAGTGGCTGGCTGCTGTGTTGCCTCCTCTGCTTGCAAACTCTGGTAATACTTGACAAGGACTTTCCATCCTCCCGGACACATGAAACCATCGGGAGGGTTCTCACCATTTCTTGCATAAGTTCGCATCTGCAACAATGCATATTGGACTCTAGAATCAGAAATTTCACAAGAGCATAACAAAGCTTTCTAGAGTTTCAATGGCATTATTCTATAGAAGAGAATCTTCTTTTCCCTTTAAAAACTGTAAGGATGAATGGTGTTCGAAGGAAAAAAGATAACAATTGATGATGACGACTACATACATGGTAACCTCAGACAGCCAGTCTAGACTAGAGTCATAGCTATATATTAGCAGTTTCCTAATTCTGGAGCTAACCTCCTAACTAAAGAACATGTTAGGACTATTATAGGTTGGAAAGATTAAAAAAAAAAAAAGTGGAAAAGAAAGGTAGCAAGTTAATTGATCCAATTTCCATATTCTGCTACCTAATATACCTAGCTGATTGGCAATGTTCTGTTTTCCACCCCTCCATACCCCCAACTGGCAAGTAGTTTACAGAAGCCAGAACACGGGCAGAATAACTACCATGGTGTGCTAGATGCTAGATTATAGAACTTTATCTTCATGACAATTTCATTATTTTTTATCTTTAAGAAGACAGGGTTGAATTCCCTCAATTTGTCACCTTCTTTCATGTCAAACAAATAAAGAAAAAGGTATTTAAATAATAACTCCAACATTTTGGACCAATATCTTCATTCTGTTAGTAACCTACCCCCATAACATCTTGCAAATTAAAGTCAAAGGTAGCTAAAGCACTAAATGAAGCTGAAACTTTTTTCTCAACCATCCAACACTGAGTTATTACATATATGATTCCAAACAAGACTTATGACTGTTAAAAAGCACATATAGGTTAAGAAACCCCCAATCAGATTCTAAAAAATCCAACACTTTGTACCTTGGTTCCAGATATGAAGAGGAAATCTTTGGCACGTGAAGGATCAAAAAATTCCATTTTCTTTGCCACTGTGTCATATGCTACCACCTGTGGACCATTGTGTATGGAAAATGAAAATTTTAGTTAAGAGTTCATTGATAATCATGAAAATTTCACTCAAGTAACCGCACATATTGAAGATCTTGAGGGAAGACATCCCAAATGATTGAAAATACTTGATATATTAAAATGAAAAACAGTTCTGATTTTTTAAAAGATAAACGTGAAAATTGAGTATAGAGCCATAGATGTATGGTATAAACAAGTAAAAGAATCAGAAACCAAGTTAAAAGCAGTTTCCATGGTACCTACCCTGAATGGCAAAATATTGAGCTTTCCCAAGCCAGGAGCCATACTTAGCACTTTTTTCCCATGGTCAGGGTCATATAAATCCCTCTTTTCAGTTGGGTGACCCATACCAGCAGGATCACGACCTACTATGTAGAAATTAGCTCCAGCATTTATTCGTGCCTTGGCATGCCACTGCACCTCAGTTGGGCCTGCATAATGCATGGGAGATGGGAAAATGGCCACAATGGTAGTCTCTGGATCAAGGACCTCATCCTCTAGGACCTGAATAAGAATGAAATATTTTAGCAACTACAATTTTTGACACCAAACTAGAAAGCGAGATAATTGGATTCCATTTTAGCAATGTGAAAATTCTGTTAAGTGAAAATCAATCTCACCTGAATAACAGGGAAAATATAAAGGATATAGTTTGTGTAAGCCCTGATTCGTATTCAGGAGAAATTGAATCATTCGTTCATTTGAAAGTTGTTGCTGGCACACGTAAAGCCTCAAATGGACTTGTTTCAAAACTTACACCAGGGAAAACACAGACCTTTGCTGATTTTTGATGGGTGTTAACATAATGATTATTAAGATTATAAAGAGGAAATGGATAGCACCTTGCTGTGCTGTTGCATCCGAACATCCAATGGCACATCATCAGCCTTTGTGAAGCCTCCTAAAGGATGCAGCAACAAAACTGGATTCTTAAAGCCCATCTCTAAAAGTCGCCTCCGTGTATCATTCATCAGTAGAGCATGCCCATTGTGCACGGGGTTCCTTAGCTGAAAAGCGAAGACTGCATCTGCATTACGCCTATCGAATTCTTCCCTGAGTTGTTTAGGAGAAAGTCTGTAGTGATCAAGCCCATCATGATATTTGATAGGCTTCAAAACTTCCAGATCCCCACCAATGAGCCAATTCCCAGCTGGAGTAATGACCTCCTCAACATATGGCAACCCTGGTGCAGTTGTTCCCCACGTTCTAGCAATTCTTTCTTCTTTGTTATGTTTGTAAATTTCAATGCTGCAAAAATGATTAACAAATTATAAAACTAATTTGGGTTCACTAAGTGGAAAATTACTGCCTACAATTTCATACCTACTAGCAAATATAAAAACCAATAATAGGTGCCAAAACTAAACCAATACTGACAAAAGATGAGTCACCGAATACTGGACTTGGTGAATAGATGCGATCCAGACAGTCTGGAACGTCAAACAATGCTACAACACCATTAAATTAAGTAAATTCTTAACCTTTCCACAATATAAAAACAGAAGAAATATTCAAATGCATATCTCCATACAAAAGCTCGCACCTTCTCAGGAAACCAATCAAATCTCCACTGGGTCCAACCAACCCCACATTGGAAGAGGACCCAATTCGCTCCTTAGTCGTGTCATCAATAGCCAAAACAATTGGAAGCGACATGTTGACAATGCTCCCATCTTTCATTCTCAAGAAATTGAAATGCAAACTCTGCAAGTACTCATCTTCCCTCATGAAGCCTCTCAACGGACTCGCCCACCCCTCGCTGAGCACATGCACCCACTCCAAATCAATCTTGGTTAGCCTCACCTTCGGCATTGACTCGGCCTCAACAGTCTTCGCGGCTCTCAGACTCTCCGGCACCACCAGATCCACCAGTGCCCCACCATCCGGTTCTATCAACGAGCTCTTAATCACAAATGATGACGATTTCGACTTCGGGAAATTACTCATTCTGGGTTTGTACAAGGCAGATGTCAATGGGTTGAAATGTGAAATGGGTGTGGGTCTAAATTTGGCACTCAAGCTTTGGAGGCTAGTGGTTTTCGTGGAATTTCCAAGGTGGGTGGTGGAAGTAAAGTGAAGTTTAACTGCTAGAGACATTGTTGTAGGCATTGGTGGTGTTGGGGTAGAGCAGAGAGATCGGCGGAAGAGAAGGAGAAGCTTTAAATTTGACGATCAGAATCGACATAGTTTGGTCTTTGTTGGCAGTGGAAGAATAAGCGTAGCTGAAAAGGAGAGACCCAACAAACTAGGTTGTATCAAGGGTAAGGAAGTGGCTTGTTTCAGTTTAAATAAGTTTTTAAATTTAAGATCTTGCGTAGGCAGTAAATTTTATAGGGAACCATTTTTCAGATGCACGAAGCCGATTAGTTCCAGATTAATCGGGTGAAGCCCCGGATGGAAAACTGAAAAAAAAAAAAGAAAAAAGGAGAGACCCATCCGTTTTCATCCGACTCGTTTCAATGGGTTTGTGGATGCGGGTGGCGTAGTGCGTGGTGTAGCTCTGTGCAGGGGACCAAAGAATGCTGTGGATCAGAAAATGGGCTAAGGAACTTTGGCCCACGAACCACAACCATGGGTGGTCAATTTCAACAGGCATTTTTGGTGCTCGCCACTAGTTTGTTTTCTCTCAATGCATTTTTGTTCACTATCATAATATATGAACAGTTCATACCCACCGAAACGAGTGAATAAGTTGATAGAAAATTTTTTTAATTTAATCAAAAGTTTTAATTTTAAATCATGAGAATATAATTTTATTAAAACTTATAAAGAAAATTTTTACAATCAATTGAGTCTTATCTGAATCAAATTTGAATTAATCGATGATTTGGTGGTTTCTAAATATTGGGTAATTCACATAAAAAAAACAAAATAATATATGAACAGTTCACAAGTGAATTTAGCCACAAATTGTGATTAGATTCGTCCGCTGGCCATGACGATTTGTTGAGGTACTACTTTGGAATCATGGAATTAAGATTTGAAGTGTAAGAACCTTTTTTTCTTTAAAAAATATTTTATAATTTAAAATGTATTAAATTATAAAATATTAATTATTAATTTTTGTTAAAAAAAAAAACCTTAATTATGAGAACCGTCTTATTATCAAATGGCTGGTGTTTGTAATTTTATATGGTCCCACCTGCAAAATTGCATACTTTTCTCTCTTTTATAAAAATAAATTCAAATTGGGTTACATTTTGGTCAAATGGTCTAAGCTCAAGTTGATATGGTGAATCTTTAGATTCAAATTTTCTAACTTAAATCATTGAAGAACGCAAAAATAATTATGTTCTCAACCTCCAGCCTGATATAATTATGTATTAACTAGATCATGTAAATGGGTTAGGCTAAATTACCTCTTACTGCGTTTTTTTTTTTTTCATTAATCACTTCTCAATTGATTTTAGAGATGTATCTTATGTTGGTTAAATATATTTAAAAAAATTAATTTCAACTTATAAACAAAGTAGTTTTTTCCTTCCATAGTCTTTTTAAACTTATGCCAATGAAAATAGATGGTCAAACCAACTTCCTCAAGATCGTGAGCACTTTCATTTTTTGGATATAGTTCTATATTCAAATGGAACTTGCGCCTTCTTGTGAGTAAGGCTTCCAGATCAATGGTTAGAGTTTGTCTGGATGAAAAATTCTTTCGTCCGGATCCCGATCAAAAGTGCTTGTAAGTTGAAAAATAAGGTTGCGTCTCAGTTGCCAACACAATGTTTCTTTCGTAACACATTATTAGTAACACATTATTATTATTATTATTATTTAAATTGGAGAGAAATTTGGAGGAAAGGAAAAATAAAGAGTAGTTGTTACAATTTCAACTCTAATCAAGATCAAGAATTAAGCACATTCAAATCAAAACAATCAAAGTTGTGAATGCTTTTCATAACACATTATTAAAAATATTAACTCATTATAATTAAATTAATTTTAATTAATATTTTATATAATTTAATAATTATATTAATTTATAATACTTTCTAAAAATGATTATTAAATAATAATACAAGTTTTAATAACAGTAGTAAGTACTTCCAAAGCAACAATTATATCCATAATACTTTAGGGCAATAAAAATTCGCATCCCCCAAACAGGTCACGAAATTACAAATACTGGAAAACTCGATCGGCTGTTTCTTTTTTCGCGCATCTCCTCGCCTCGGGTTAAGGTTTCTTTTTTTTGGTTTTTCTTGGGCTCTCTTTTTGGAAGATTTTGAGCTGGTTGCTTGGCTATGGGAGTACCAGCGTTTTACAGACGGTTGGCGGAGAAGTATACGTTGACTGTGGTGGATGTGATTGAGGAAGAGCCGGTCGTTATCGACGGTGTCGCGATTCCGGTCGATACTAGTAGACCTAACCCTAACAAAATCGAATACGATAATCTGTATCTCGACATGAACGGGATTATTCATCCTTGCTTTCATCCCGAAGACAGGGTACAGTTGGATGCATCAATTTCCCTTTAATTTTTTCCTGCTTAATGCTACTGTCAC